AAGTCGGGTTTCCATCAAGTGAATGTGGCTAAGCTGATAAACCTAAGACTACACTTAGTTATGTTTTAAGTCTCTGACAATACTGTGTGATGCCGCAACATTTGAGAGGCTGATGGAAAAGTACTAGAAGGCCTAGAATGAAGAATAGCCCTAGTGTACCTGGATGATGTCATTGTATTTGCAACAACTTTTGATGAGGAAATGTCTCGGCTAGAAGAAGTATTCAAGCGTTTGAAAGCAGCAAACCTCAAACTCCATCCCAAGAAATGCCACTTGTTCCAGAAAGAGTTGCTTTACTTAGGTCAATTTCGCGCAATGCTACACGAGGACTATCCGTGCTAGCCATCTCTAATTTAGCAGTGAAAGGCCACCACCCACCGCCAACTCTTGGGCAACTCTTTTACCAACGAATGATAGAATTGACCGTCATATTATAACGCCCCAACGGTTAAAAGAGCATGCATGATTGGCGACGGTGTTTCGAACAAAGACCTGCAAGCTACCAAGCCATGAGAGACGGATAATAAGGGTTAAAATGGTTTTAAGATGTAACACCTGTTATATGTTCAACATAAGGGAATGTTTTGAATTTAAGCATTTGCCGTCCACCTGTAAATCAGTGGTACGCCTCTGGACTTACGATGTTAAAAATCTGGTTTCGATACTTGTAGTAGGCATAGCACAAATATCCCACAGTATAACTTTGTGGTTTACAACAAATAAATAAGCCTTTGCAGATCGTTTACATATATGCATTGATAATCAGATAGTTTTAATCTAAAATTGCATAAGTCTTTCTGTAAATCTTAATTTCCAAACATGTGACCTGTATTAAAAATTTTTAATATCGTTGTATATATATATATACATTTCATTTCCATACAAAGAGGTTAAAATGAAGTCGTGCTACCAGTTGTTTTGTACTTTGCGATTTTCTTAAATTGTAATTTGTCTTCTTGAACACTGAAAAAGTAACAGTATTAACATTTCTTCTTGGTCATGATCACTAACCTTCATTTGATATGATATAAGTCTCTGCGTAGAATTCTCTGATAATTAGCGACACAAGAAACATGAAAGGCAACTGAGTATAGCCGTTCAAAGCATATGCGCCATGTTTAATTTTGTTTATTTTCTAACGTTTGTTCAGTTTAGAACAACGATACACAAATATGCATTTCATTTATCCATCAGAACGTATTAATGTATCTCAATACAAGTAATGCTAAATTATACAAAAATTAAAAAAGAATAGGGTTTTTATACAATTACTTCAATCGCAATTAATACTCTGCAATTAATGGCCACGTCTCTATTCATTCTATTCCACTGAATTTTCTTTCAATATAACATTATGAACATAACTCATTAAAGATCCAAAGCTTAACTTCATACTATGTTTGGTAATATGTGAGGGTGTTAACTAAAGAGTGTTATAAAAGCAATCCCTCTAGCGGTGTGTGTGGATGGATGAATAAATAATAGAAAGGACGTGTTAGTTCTTTACCTGCGGAGATGCTTAAAAGGTTCTCCTCGAAGCGTTTCGGAGCCACTCTTCCTGCTCAACTGCTTTCTTCATTCAGGCGAGTAGTTTGTGTAAAATCGCACGAGGCAGGCTGACCCTGACCTGATATTTCTGAGTGGTCGAGGGAGGACGTTGCACCTGGGTACTGTGTGGCGTGACAGATACTAATTGCAATACACATACACGCTTTAGGGTGTTATGTATTTATACGTATCGTGCTTTAGACTTGTATATATATATTTATTTATTTCCTGGTTTTTAGAGTATTTAACAGTTACTACTATTTATTACAAACCTGATGCTAAACAACATGTTAGAATTCATTTGTGATGTTTGGGGAATCTGAAAAAAGTATGTCTAACCAATTCACCGAATGTGTTAACTGTGTAAACAAATGTTTATTTTATTTCAGAAGAAATATTCAGAAAGATTATTGACAGCCTTTCAATAAGTTCAGAAAGTAGTAGTTTAGTGATGTTTTGAATCATACTATAAAATTTTGAAACTTGTTTTTATGAAAGACATTCCTACTAATTGAAATACTATAAAAACTATTTGGAACATTGGAGTCATCCATCCTGTTAGTCGGGCGATATGTCCTTGGAAACTTGATGCCACGTCCTGTATCTGTTTGTAACAATATAATATTCAAGGCCTAAGTTGCATTAAAACGTTTTTAATTTTAGGTTTGAAACTGTGGCTTAATAAGGAAGTCTAGCTCACTTTTCTTCTTCTTTTCCATCAGGTGACGATAGCAGCAAAAGAGTCAAGAGACAAGGACACTTCAGAAACGGCATTACGTGGATCAGAGAATGTACCCAGTGGTGATTTAGAGGCAATTGAAAGTCAAGAACATTACCAGCTTCAACCACCACCACCTCCACCTCCTTTAAGATCTGTAATCCATTCTCAACATAACAATCCTATTCCTCTTCCATTTCCTATTCCTGATCAAGCTTCCCAGATCATTCTTCATGGAATTTCCCAGCTTGGTGGGTATGGAGGTGGACAGCAGGTTGGAAGTCATATCCAGGATGTAAACTATGTCATCGAGGATCAATCGCAAATTACCAGAGGTCATGGGGACAATTTCATACAACCACCTCAACCAGTGTACCCAGGTGATGGATCTTATGAGCCAGGCATTTCACCAGGTGCTGCTAATTTTCCTGGCTTTCCCAAACTTCCTGGGTCTGATCCCTGGCCATTACCACAGCCAGAAATGCCAAATATTGTGCATCTTGATGTAAAATGTGAGAAGAACCTGATGAAGGTAGCTATAGACTTTGATAAACCTTTTCATGGTATTATTTTTAGCAAAGGTCACTACAACTATGGGAATTGTGTATACTTGCCAGTAGGATCTGGACGCAAAAGTGTCTTCTTTGACATTTCTATTAACAGCTGTGGTACTTCTGGAAATGCACAGAATGGCTTGTATGGTTATGGTGAACCTAGTGGTAGTGGCAGCTTTTTTGAAAACACCATTATCATACAATATGACCCTCAGGTTCAAGAAGTTTGGGATCAAGCTCGTAAGCTGCGTTGCATATGGCATGACCAATATGAAAAAGCAGTTACCTTCCGTCCATTCCCCGTAGATATGTTGGATGTGATCCGTGCAGACTTTGCTGGTGACAATGTTGGATGCTGGATGCAGATCCAAGTTGGGAAAGGCCCTTGGGGGGGTGAGGTTGCGGGTATAGTTAAGATCGGGCAAACAATGACCATGGTGCTAGCTATCAAGGATGATGAAAACAGATTTGATATGTTAGTTCGAAACTGTGTCGCTCACGATGGAAAGAGAGCACCCATCGAGTTAGTGGATAGTAGAGGCTGTATTGTCAGGCCTAAGCTCATGAGCAGATTTACCAAGATCAAAAACTTTGGCTCTAGTGCCTCTGTATTATCTTACGCCCATTTTCAGGCCTTTAAATTTCCAGATTCCATGGATGTACATTTTCAGTGTACTATTCAGATCTGCCGATACGAATGTCCGGAGCAGTGTTTCTACCCGGTGGACGCTAACATCGTCCATGAACAAGAGCCTCCACCGGGCTATCTGCCAGTTGGACGGCCTCGTGAGGAGCGAGACGTCAGGCTTGATGAAATGACGGAAGTTGGACTAAACAAGATGATCCGCGTGATTTCCACTGGTGACCTGGCATTTAATTTACAAGAAAACGATATTGCACCTATCCATATTACACAGGAAAATGACGACAGTGCCATCATTTGTATGTCTACGCCTGGCTTCGCTGCTTCACTTGTTGTACTGCTAGCTATATTAGTCATCTCATCCCTTATCTCGGCTTTTCTTTGTCTCCGTCAGCGGTCACAAGATGGTGCCTTCCCGTGCCCGAGTGACTTCACAAAAAACAAACATTGAACATCAAGCTACTGAAATCGTACACATATCAACATTTCTATGCTCAATTCAAATTCGTCACCTTCAACTCCCTAAACATTTTCGTTATATTTATAAATGAATCATATGAAAAACGAAAACATTGCTTTTTAATCAAGGGTTTGATAACAAATTTTCCTCATCTGAATTCTTTCTTCAGCACCCGATAAAGATGCCCGAATTTGAGGCATATCATCTTATCCAAAGAAAATTGCAGTGATATTGTTTGTTGAAACCGGACATTATTAAGCAGTAGTATTGTGAAAACCGACTCGGGTAACAAGTAATATTATTAAATCAACTATGTTAATCAATATTTTAATGAAAATTAACACCATTCATCAGAACTCTTTATACAAACTGGCTTCATTAACTGACATTTCTACAATGTCTTTTCCATATTAATGAATACTATTTATTTCGACCAATTGAAAATTTGAATAATAATGATTTCAAAAGTACCTAACCACAATAAATGGGATAGCTACACGCTCAACTACGTTCATTCAAATGAACTTAATTTACAGATTTGTTATCATGTGAGTTTTAAAAATATTTGTTTGATACTTTTTGACGCTAAAGATATAAACCTTTGACAATAAGTGATTAAATGAACTCAATAAGACTTCTTAATATGTACAATGTTGTGTTCAGAGCGAGTTTTGAACCATAATCTTCGATAAGCAGCTCCATAGTAAATACTATGTTTCCAACATACCTCAATGTAATAGAAACACCTAGTTCGTGTTGAGTGTCCGATTCTGCAATTCACTTAAAAATACGTAGCTTCAAAGACAGTTGAAAATACGAAATAAACTCTGCAATAACTACGTTGTCATTTACATCGTCGCGTTGCTTTATAACATATTTTAAAATTGTCAAAACGCTGCTGTCCAAGTTGTCTTTGTTTTTCACACTCTGAGATAACGCAGTTGCGTTGGTTATGAGTACAGATTTTAAATAACTAAACAATATTCATTTTGAAACAGCGATAATCATTTTTGAATAATTAATTTAATTTCCTTGTGAAGAAGTTGTAAAAGTTCAACTTCTCGAAAGCTACTCTATGTTAAAAAAATGTAAAACCTGTTCTCGCTGTTTTCGTTATTTGCTGCAGTTGATTGGTAATATTACAATTTTCTTAACTTGTTGTTCAAATATTATTTTGAATCCAGTCAAAAACACGCAGTAAAGTAGATTAATTTCATAATTATAACTTGTTTGGCCTCAACGTAGGAAAGTGGTTTTCAATAATAACTTTTTCAATGAAATTTTAAAATTAAATAATTGGTTGAAACCCTTGAAATTCAAATGTATTGACGCAAATGTGATTTAACATAATCGACCACAGTCTTCATTTATAAGTGTTTTCAATAGTGAAAGGTATTTACTAGGCTTCATCTTGTTTAATTACGTTTAATATAGGCTGCAGAACCAGTTAAAGTACGGAAAGATAAAAAAGAATACTTGTTTGTGTAAGTTTGTAAATTTATGCATGCATGATTTCCTAAACTTTATGAAAATCAAAACAGCGTTTTTCAACATCTTTAGTTTTGTGGATTGTTGTTTACATATGTAAACTCGCTCATCATTTGTTAAACCTAATTGAAAAATAACCACCAAAGAACAATTGAAAAGTAACTTATATTTAGCAGTTCATTTTTGTGTGAGGATGACGGAAGTAACCAGTGTAGTCTAACATAATCATCTAACATTGTCAATGTACGTGCTTGAAAAATATTATTTGGTCACTTATAGTTTTGATAATATAAAGCTTATATATTATGCCATTAAATTTTGAATATTTCTAAAATTCAATACAATTTATTTACATTTTTAAATTTTCTTGATGATAAAATGAGAATCTTGTATATCTTTTTCTTCAATTTCTTAACGAATATAATATTTTAAATGATGAGCTTTTAGCACTTCAGGTTATCAGGAACCAATAGGGATATTTCATTCCTAATCTCCTAGACTCATATGTTTAACTAGAAAAGAAATGAGTTTTTAAAGAGCTTGGTCTTATGTATTTCATGTATATATTAGAAACTGTAAATAATGCTAAATAAAAGCAATTAGCATGTACATACATATCTTAACAAATATTTTGGTTAATATTAATTCTATATACACCTGTCGTTGTTACAAAAATAATTACGTGTATTCAAAACATTTTGAACAAAGAATATTTAATGACCAAGATTGTGTTCATGTTGTCACATTCTTCTGAACTTGGCTCGTTAGTTCCATCTACAAGACTCCTCCCCCCCAAAAAAAAACCCACAACAATACAACATTAGAATTTATTGTTAAATTGATAAGTTTCAAACAGATTCGGCTATTCATAAAA